ATTGTTCTTCTTTCATATACAATACAAATGTTGTTAATCTTTGTTGTAACTGGAATTAGTATAGTGTGTGCAATATGAATGATGCTTTAAAGTGATATATAATACACATCTAGTAAGTGTTTCTGTTCTTCTTTTCTCTCTACTCTATTAGACAAGGGAAAGAGAGAGTGTTGATGAAGTGACGAACATTTCATTTTTATTACTAATCAATCAACGAATGCATTTTCTTTTTTCTATACATGTGTACTATTTTCGTTTTCAAAAGCCTTGTATAAATAGAGACAAACATTACTAGAGCCAATCATTGTCAACGATCTTTTGAGAAATTTTAGTGATAAATATTAACACTTTTTTTGTATGTGGAAAAACACACACATTATAAACTCCATAGTAACACACATCTAATCATCATAGAAATGTTGGTACTGTAATCAGATCATTAATCAGCTGAGTCTGATATTCTGAAATCAATGCTGATCCTATCTCTGAAAACAAAGATATTTTTTATTTTTCTAGGTATAGATTTCTGACTCTCATGATATAAAGTGAAAGAAAAAAATTTAAAACACTTCCATTCTTTTCCCATGTCGTCGTACTCGAAGGACATTCAAATGTGTAGTGGTATTTGTAGCTTTCAGTAGTATCTGCATGGATCATGTACTAGTAACTTATTCAATTGGAGATAGACAATCTGACAATAAAAATGTACATAATGGAAGTCATTTTTCGAGGATCAGACAATTTGACAGTGTAATCTGGAGGCTTCTAATCGACAAACAAGAAAAATTAATATAGACGAAAGACTATGTTGTCTAGTATTAACAATGATTCAAAAACTGATAGTATTAAACTTTTTGAAAATAATCAAATATCCAAATTTAGAATGATGAACAGAGGAAATAAATTTTTTTATTTTAACTATTCTCGGATGACTAAAAAGTTCTTATAACAGTTTAAAGTTTGTAACCATCTCAAATAAAACTCTTTAGAGACAACATTCATTTTTAAATCTGTTTCTGATAAACCAGTCTTACACTAAATATTTTTCGCTTAGAAATGAGACGTCAACCAGCTGTACACCCTTCCTGTGAGACGCTTTTGTCATTTTAGTGGAAGTATCGTTCATATCTTATACTGTTTAGGCTAATCAGCACTTTCTAGTGGAAATGTCTCATAGAAAGGGCGTAGAGCTTGTTGACATCTCATTTCTAAGAGCAAAATGTTTAGTTTGAGACTGGTTTACCAGTATCAACAGATTTAAGAATAAGAATTCACAGTGAGTTTTGATTCTAAGCAGCCTTTCCTTTCATGTACAATGTTTTAGAACAAAAGTTGCAAAGGCACAGTGTTATAAACTTCTATTTTCTACTTTACATTAGTAGAAGGGCTAGCTTTCGAAACTGCCCTAGTAGAAGAAAAAAAACTCCTGCACCTAGCTATCTGATGCATCCCAGCTAGCTGAAGCTAGATTAACGTGGTCAAATAGCTAGTTTGAGCTAGCTGCAAGATTTTTTTTTCTACTAGGATGATAACAACGTTCAGAGAAGTATCACCTTTTACATCTCATCTAACTTTTTATATATGTTGTCTTATTTTTTAATCAAGTCTCATTTATCAAATTAATGATCTGCAATGTGTAGAGTATATTTGATTTGATTGTTTCAACTAAAGTCACAGTTGTGAAGTCAATCATTCCTTGTGTCACTGTAAAAAAAAAATCAAAATATATACAAAAAAAGCGTCATATGATCACACAGACAAGCACATATACACGTTGTCTTATGATTACCATTTAGTAGGAGAAAACTTCAATTGGTTTTTATCGATTCCTTATCATCATCATTATTGTTATCAAAGAGAATAAATTAAGAATAAATTTTATTTATTTGGTGAAACATGTGTTTCCTCATTGCTTTTTGAAAATTGATACAAACAACGTCAGCTGCATAAGAGAAAAAAAAAATGATTTTAAACATTTTAATAATGATGATGATAATTTTAACGGTAAAACATATTACAAAGAGTAGAATTAAAATAAATCAAATTGAATATTGTCTTGATCTTTACCTCTATCTTTGGCTAGGTATAAATGATACTCAAAATGTGGCAGATTTAATCGCTCCATATTTCAATAATCTCCTTCTCATATTTTGCTTCGTATCCTAAAACATTCTTGATTGTCGAAATGAGTATTTTATAATTCGACATGGACTTTCACATCCATCATGTCATTTTCACTTTTTTTATACACTCAGCTATACTATATTATTATCAATTAAAATCGGAATATGGCTGTTTTAAACTGAGATGATGATTTTAAGTGCTTTTTTTTTCTTCTAATAAACTTGAAATTAACTTTTATATTATCTTGTTAAACAACATGTAAATTAGACACAATTTCTCATCACACTCTATATAAATGTTTGTACAATATCACCATTCACCCAGAAGCAGTAGAAACACACTAAATTGATTTGATTAATTTTAATTATGTAATAATCAAGAAGACAAATCACACATTTTCATTTACAATTGATGATGATGCTTGATTAAGCACATTTTTCTGCAAAAATATATCTCTATAATGATTACATCTTGCCTACAGGTTGATTAAATGACAGGTTGAAAGATCAACGTTGTTTTTATATTTTATTTTTTGCCTTAAAGCAACAATTGTCGTTTGTCAACTTGTTATAAGTCTTATTCTCATCTACACTTGTAAATGGAATAACGATTGAATGGCATGCGTTTGTTTTTTTCTCTTACTAGTTGTACAAGAGTATGATCATCCTATATGATCAATATCTAATTAAAAATTTAAATTATGACAAAGTCTGTTCTAAAATATTTTTGTTAATCATCTACAATAAAGATAGATTATTGAATGATTTTTGTCACAAGCACTAAAATATCACAATTAATTTATACTTAAAACAAGTCGTTTTCATCTAATATAGATGTTCTACTTTTTGACAGTAACTTGTATACATTTCAATAAAAGACGATAACTATTGGAGTTAAGGCCACTAATAAGAACTTGGAACAAAACATATTCTTTTATTTTTGTAGATAAATTCAATGCCAATTAGCTGATTTAACAATCATAACATAAATGACAGATCTTGCTCTCAGAACATTGAGTTTAACGAAAATATCCGCGATTCTACAGAAAGAGTTGAAACTACCTTTTTTTTCTTTCACAAAAATAATCTTCTTACTACGAAGTATAAGACAAAAACGGTACGTTGTTAAGGATACAATGTCAGCTCTCTATCAAGGCAATACTATGGTTAATTAATGATGTAAAGATAGAGCAAATATATGGATAAAATCGACATGAATTTTAAAATAGATCTAGCATACTGTTTGAATTCTTTTAGTCCAAAACTTTGTCTTATACTTTCACAATATCACCTTTTAATTCTCATTTTATTTTACTTTTATTGTTACTCATGCGGAAATAATTATTACTACTATTTCTTTTTCATTTAAAACTGTCTACGATTCATCTTACTAGTACATATAGCTACAAGATATTTACAATTATTATCATCAGCTTAGTCGGTTTGAATCTATTGGTTTGAATCTTGTGTATAAGTGTGTGTTTATAATTTTTTAATGTTCCCTCTTTCTCTCTCTCTCTCTCTCTCTTTCGTACTAAGGCCCAATGTCTCTGTTTATTATTCTGTATATCAAATATCAACTACTGCCATTATTTCTCTCTATCGCTTTCATTTTATATAAAATAGCTCTGCTAATAGGTGTAAAAGATAGAAAGAAAGGAAAGAAAAATGTGTGCTGCGTACATTGGTTAGAACTATTACTATGAAAATGAAATCAAACATCTCTACCAATAAGTATATTGAATGTACTCATATTTCTTTCGGTCTATGTTATCGTTTAATAGACACTGATATACTAGTTATAATAAGAACATTAACAGTATAAGAAGGTAGGTGAATAGACCTCTCTCTTTCTCTCTCTCTCTCTCTCAAAATAATTGCCTTTTTAATCGATCAACATATATGTCGTACTAATCGTATAGTAATAATAATAATAATAATAATAATTTCGATGTTCTTTTTCTCTCTCTATCTGTACCTGAATACCTAGAGGATAAAATCCAATAGAAATAAAATTATTTTATTGTTTGTTAAAATTTATTTCTTCTTCTTTTTATTGCCTCAGGTGTCGTTTTCTCTCTTCCTCTCCTTTTCTTTTTATATTACCAAGAATTTTGAATTAATTTTATCAATACATTATGTGTTGTTTAAACCATCTCTTTTCTCATCGTCTCTGTCTATATAGATAAATAAATATATTCTATACATTTTTGGAATATTAGAGGTAAGTAGATTCAATTATTTTTCAATTAATATTAGTATAAACAATTGCGTCATTATGCTCTATTATCGTTAAAGAAACACACGCGCATTTATATTTTCTGCTCTCATCAACCAGTTAGAATATCATTGGCTATGGCAATTAGTCTACCCCGATGATGACTATTATTCCGAGTCCGATTTAACAGTCTTCATCTGACATGCAAGTCCTCTGATAGTGTAAGATAATAGATAAAATTCTGTCATGTGTTGCTGATCTTTATATTACATGAATTCTTAATCTAAAATTGACTGTGGTAGTTCATTTACTGATACGATTTTAAATTTCTTTTCCATTTACGGTGAAATTCAAGTTATTACACAATAAATCTGAAATAAATAAGTATTTTCAACTTTACGGATATTTTAAAATGATAGATAATAGACGAATTTTTTTGTGCTTTCAATAGTCAAAATCTCAAGAACTAATTCATTATAAAATTTTCAAGCTATTCTAGAATATCGATATGTTGATTTCAATGATTTTCTTTTTCTATTTGGAAAAAAATTGATTTTTTGCATCATTATGATTGGTCTTTGCATTCTTATAACATTATTTCTTTTATTTTAGGTAATGCCATTATAACCAATTGTACAAAACAAAATTACTAAAACAAAATGCCAGTTCATCGTCCAAATGTTCGAAAATCGGGCTTCTCTATTGAAGATATTATCAGTCATGCCAATGATCGAATATGTCCCAACACTTCACCTAAAGAAACAACTTCTTCTCGAATTCAACCGTTAAAATTGGACGCAAATAAAACAACTCATTGCCCTCCTGTAACATCAATTACTCCGTATAAAAACACTAGTGTACAATCACCTCAATTAATATCATCCTCATCCATGTCTAACAATCATTACATGTCAAATATGAATACAGCAGCAATGGCAGCAATGGCAGCTGTTAATGCTTCGAATTGGCCATTCAGTGGACATGGACCACAATATGATCCACTCGTTCAATATCAAATTCAACGTGAATCAGCATTAAATTACATTCGAAATGGTGGACGATTATTTGATGGAAGATTTGCAAGTAATGAGATTACTAAATATTATGAATAATTTTTTTAAATTTTTTTAAAAATTTATCTTGTAGGTCCTGAAGCAGCTGCCGCATTGATTCTACATTCATTTCGCAAACCCAAACGTATTCGAACAGCATTCACACCGGCACAATTGTTAAAATTAGAAAATGCATTTGAAAAAAATCATTATGTCGTAGGACACGAACGAAAAGAATTGGCGAAAAATTTAAATTTAACAGAAACTCAGGTAAAATAACTCTTTTGTTTATCATTGCATTATATAATGAGTCGATCAAACTTATTTGACCATTGGTCAGTGTACTATTGACTCAAAATAAAAACACTTTTTTCACCACTTCTTTTGTAAAATGGCTCTCTCTTTCTCTCTCTTTTGTGAAATGTATCGGGACTAAAAATAATAATTTTAACTGACATTTTTGAATTTTTAAAACATACAAAACTCTTCACTTCGTAATTGATGATGTTAATTTTACTAATATTTTTCTTCAAGACATTTGGCTTAGTTAGTACGAGTGAATTGTTTGTTGCAGATAAATATTTCTTTAGTTAAAAAAAAGTAACAGGAAATGTTTTAGTTGATAATTGATTAATTTCTTTTTGTCGATAATAGATGTTTGCCCGAAAGAAACGCGTGTGTGTGTGTGTGTATGTTTTGCCACAATAGTGATGACAGTTTCCGGACGACTTTCTTTTTTTCCTTTTTAATAGTTATTGTGTGAACTTATAGTTTGAGCTTTGGTAAAAATAACAATACAAATAAAAGCCACTTTTGGTGATATTTGTATACAGCAAAGTTACTCTGGTAAGCTATCATTAATTTTAAACGCCGCACATAGGAAAGAAACTGTAATGGCATAATAATTGTACGAGGAGTTCAACTAAAATTAATTCATTTATAAAAGTAGAAGTTTTCAATTAAAACCGGAGTCATTATCAGTTATGGATAAAAACGAAAGAATACGACTATAGTAAATGAACTGATACGTGATTTATTCTCTTTCTTGTCTTTATAAAATAATATTAGTTGAGTTTTTCATTTATTCACTGTCCAATTTTATAAATTTTATCTCAACCATAATGAAAATGGGCTGCAATTAATAGGCGGTCTATTGACATCTTCATTTTCAAAAAATACGATCCTTCTTTCTTTCAACAAAATTCTCATATTATATGACAAATGACCAGATGTTTGTCAAAAATTATTCTGAATTAACATTTTCTTTAAAGAAAATTTTCTAGAATGTTCTACGACGTGTTGTGCTATACCCACATTTGTTTTCTTGAAGCATGAGGATTATTTTTTAACAGAAATTTATTTTGTATTAAATCAAAAATTTTCTATTGTTCAACGACGATAGTAATATATATAGCTGTCAACTACTGTGATCTTCGTTTGTTTAGGTAAAAGTTTGGTTTCAAAATCGTCGAACAAAACATAAAAGATTGAAATGCGAAGATGGTAACAGTACAAATGATGGCGATGATAGTCCATCAGAAAAAGAAAAATGGGATTCGTCCGAATTAGATATTTGTGATGATCAAGATAATTCATTACCAGCACTGCCAAATCAAACATCTCCACCTCATACTCCTCAACCAGTTCTACCGCTAAGTCATCAACAACAACGTATAAATTGTACTCAAGAACATTTTACAACAAATGGTAATTTATCGTTACAACACCAGATAAGATCTACACGTAGCGAAAATAACCAACATAAATCAGCTCTCTATTATGCTTCAACACATCATAATGATTCATTTACTGATAGAACACCTTCGCTAAATACATCGCGTTCTCGTTCAAGAAGTTCAAGTAGAGAATGACTATTTGATTTGGTTATTGTTTTCGAAATTGCCCGGTTGAATACATTCCATTCTGTGTACGTTTATCTATACTCTTGTTTTGTTTCTTTTCAATTGTTAAACTATCGTGTATAATATAAAGGTTTTATTCTTTTTGAACATATATGAGCACGGCGAATAATAATGAAATTATTGCACATTTAAAAAGAAGTAGAGTTCTTCATCATTGACAAAATAGTCAAACATCATCCTCTGTATTAACAAATTTTTTCTTATTAAACGCTAAGACAGAAGATGACACAAATTCCAAAGTTTGAACTTGTTTATATGTATGCTGGGAAAACAAAATAATAGAGGAGCCGTATTGCTGGTGAATATCAGTCTCATATATATCGTAAACACTGGTGGACTTCTTCTATACATTCATAATAACTTAATTATTAAGAGACTTTCAGACTGGGAAAAGCCAAACTATGAGACTATTTCATACAGCACATTTTCTCAGAGAAAGACTATCCTACTATTAATAGCTATTAGATAGATTGGATCAAAAATAACCAATTTATCTTACACTAGAACTAACTAAATGAAGGCTAAATTCTATCCAATTAGTAATCAAGAATCCATCCTAAATCTAGAATCCATCTAATAATGACTGGTGTAAGTAAGACTATCAGCGCCAGAAGGAAAAAAATTACTTAATGAATGAGAGGGTAGATCCTTCGAACTATCTAAATCTAGACGTGGATTGAACACAGAATTTTAATTTTTACGTGATTGTGATAGTTGTCAGACATTGATAAATAGCAAAATTTACCAACTTCTACAGCTTCTGTAAAATCCACAGAAAACTGCAAATCACATTTCGCTTGACGCAGGTTTTTTCACGCTGATCACTTTTGCTCAAAATACAGTTTTGATTTATGCGTTTTGCGCTTTCTTGCTCGTTTTCAAAATTTCATTGTTAGTGCCTCAAAAATTGCTTTTCTATGACCACCACATGTCAGTATTTAGTGAAATACAGTTATTTTACGATTTGCAGTCGTATTTGAAATACAAGCTTCTTTTCAAAAGAACACTTCATAACTCAGTTTGAAAGAAAATGAGTAGACGCTAATATGAAATATAGACAGAGGCGAGCTTAAAGATCTAAGGCTCATCCCTGATACATTACCAGCAAGCCAGACACTTACAACTGTCGATGGAAAATCTTAGATAATCTTATATAAGAAACTGATAAGATTCCGATAAGAATCTTATCAGTTTTATCAAAAAATATTTGGTCTAGGGTAATGGACATTATTATGCAAAAATATAACATGGAGTTCTATGTCGAGAAAAGAAGGAGGTGAAACATTGTTGTTAAGTTTTTGTACACTGATCTAACTGCACTTATACTACTACCCCACAGAGTAACAGGATATTCGACTCTTTTTACACGATACATAAAATCCTTATCTGTCACGAACCATATCCTCAAAGAGGCTGAAAATTGACGAAGGATCAGCGTCTAGCGAGAGCTAGAATCATACAAAAGTCGATGTTCAAAGTACGCTATCATGGTTTTTGACATTAGGGTTTTACTTCGGCTAGTACCATAAATGAATTGAATTGATGAGCTCGTAATTATTGTTGGCACAAGATCTGTGCCCTCAATTGTTCAATACCATGTGCTTGATTTGTAGGATCTCTACGTTCTTCTTCTTGCATCCTTTATGACTTTCTCTATAGAACCATAAAATCTTTATTATTCTCTTTTATTTGAGAAAAATATTACAGTTCAAATAGAGTGCAAAATAACAAAACTGTTAACACTGTTAGATGAAATAGCAAAAGATAAAAATATTTTAGACGAATCAAGCCAATCAAGTGTAAGTTTTTCATGAGAAAAATTAAATATTACTACAATATTATACAAGTAACTACAAATATTATACAAGTGAATGACCATAATATCATACAATAAAATGACTGGATTACTAGTTTTTTATTTTTCTTTGTGTTCTACTTTCTTAACAAATTTTCGTACTAATATCCGTAAATAGTCATCGGTTCTTATACAAGAATCACGAAACTTATAACAGGCATGTAAGCATCTTAGAAGTACCAACTAAAAATTTCTTATAAAAATTCTTATATAAGATCTTCCATGAAAGTGACAATAATTCGGCTGAATCTTATATGAATCTTGTAAGATTCACATAGGCTTTCATGAGAGATTTGTAAAAATCGGCAGAACTCGTATGTATGCTAGTGTTATCGTATTCTTATACAAGTCTTATCACATTCTTGTAAGATTTTTGCAACTCAGGAAGGGAAACTTTTACTGGGACTTTTCTTCGAGAACATGGTGCAAACAAATTTTAATGCTTTCGTCGACCAGACAATGCTTTTATCACGTCATAATCTCTATATGAAAAGGAAAAGTCAGCGTGGTAGAGAGTAAGATCGTAAATTCAGAAGAAGTACACAGATTCAGCTCTCTGTTTAAGAAAACACGTACCATTTTCGCTAGTCACAATGTTGAACTATTAGAGTTTTGGACAAGTTTTCTTTTCAGACACATTTCTTAATCAACTAAGTTTAATTAAGTGCGTATATGTCATACACGCGAAAACATTGTTATATAGAATACACACGTGATGTATATATACACCCAAAGACACATTGAACAGTTATGTGATAAAAGCACCGTCTGCTCGACGAAAGTATTAAAATTTGATTGCACTACACTGTAAGGTGGGAAATTATTTATGGAAAATACCCGGCGAATTTCAAAGAGTACCTATAGGAATTCCCTGAGTAATTTCCAGTTTACAGAAAATCGAATATTTAACAAGCTAGAAAATCCTCGTTGAATTTCCATAAATAATTTTCAAGAAAGTAGAAATTTCTTTTGATTTTCTATAAACTGGAAATTCCTTGGCCGGTCTGCACCGAGTGGCCGCGCGACCAAGTTGTATTGTATTGGTTGACCCCCGGGAGGGGGGGGACGGGCGACACAGTAAAAATAAATCGATTTTTCCCAGCGAAAAATTTTTTTTTCTCGCGTTCTCCGAGAAAAAGTTCTTGTCTCAATGGAGCACCCCGCAGAGCCTGACTGATCGCGACAGCCCTGATTACAGTTAGATAAACAGTACTAGCGTCGTTATACTTAGCTTTCATACCAAACGAAAATGTGTTTTGTGTGATGTTAATTCTTTGAGACTTGAAACTTCAAAATAAAGTTAAGGATCCTTGCTTTGTAACTTCTTGATTATAGTACCACCTATTTCCGTAGAATGCGCTTTATAATGATTCTTGTGCTTTTTGTTCAAACACCTTTCTTTTTCAACACCTGATTATTCTCTAAAATGATCAGTTTAATCACTCATTTTGTTTTCAGTCTGATTCTAAGCGACATCTGCCAAAAACACGCTGATTCATGGAAATTCTATCCAATGACGTCACGGCTAATGGTTCCACTAACGCTTTTTTTCATTTGCTGCGGCCATTTTTTCAAGCTGTTATTTTGAGCCATACAAAAGGAAACTACGAGCTGTTTTAGGATTGACTAGAATACGTTTAAATCATAGAGATGAAGTCACTGCTAGTGGATTCTATGAATTTTTTACTATTTTATGATCTGTTGCTTGTTTGTTGTGAACACTTATACGGCTTACCTACAAAAAGTTTTCAATACTCTTTTACACTGTTTTTAATGGCATAGTTTACAGTCACTGAGAATTTAAAGTACACTGTTTCTTTACATTGTGAATTTCAATTTACACTTTTTTTCATAAAAGACTCTCTGTTAATCTAAGAAGAATCAACCAACTTATTACAACAGATGAGATATTTTTAAGCTTTAGGTTCCAAATAATCACGGATTATCCTTTCTCAGTCCAACTCATCTGGACTATAAACTTTTGCTTTATCTAGAAGTAATATGAAAAAAGCTGACCTGATTATGTGCGAAAAGTCCACGTGCCCCTATTGTTTTCATCAAGCTGGAAACGCTCACTGATCCGTAGAATTGATAAACAGTAATACATCTTTTATTTAGCTGTATAAACTGTATGAGGTAAAATTACCAGATTATGAAGCAACTCGACGATGATGACAAATATTTTAATAATTTTATTATTAACATTCGAAAAATAAGAATAAGACCGATATGTACACATTTCTCCACTGTATTGTTCTGCACCAATATTTAGAAATATTAGAGAAGTGAGAGTTATACAATTTTCCAAGACTTACGAATTTTTTGAGATGATTAATTGTATTGTTTCGCATTGCACTAAGCTACAGATTACATTTCCATTTGAAGACAGGTGAAATAGCGAGATTATTTGCTTTATTCATCAAGCATAATTTAGCTAACAATTTTTATAAAAAACTAGGAAACTTTCAGTATTCTAAGTCAAGTCTGATTAGTGTTTGCTCCTACATTTACTAATGATGTAAGAAATAAACTTGTGTAAGTTAAAACAAATTGTGTTAGAAGAATTCTCTTTCAAAACATCTCGTGTATTACACATTTGACTGATACACCATCCTCTAGATCAAATTTGGATTATAAATATCATTAATAATTACCATTATCACTACCACAAAACGCATCGACTAATCAATTGTATTTAAACGGTATAATTCATTAGATTTTATTCAAACAGCTCTCATAAAACTGATGATTGATGATTTTCTTATAAAAATAACTGAAGAATTGTTGTATCTATCTAAATAGAGTAAAATTTTGGTATACTAGTTAACATTGATTTAGATTTACTACTGTCGATCTCTTGTATTTGTAGATTTTTTGATAATGTCTGATTCAGAAGATGAAGTAGAAAATAAAAGAATAACAACATTAGATCTAAACGAAGAAGAAGATGAAACCGTTACATTCAAATCACTGGTATGTTGGATGAAATTACAAACTAGGATGAGGTGTATGGTTGAGTAGTGTGAAAAGCCATTTTTACTCCTGCTTTAGCGAACAATTTTTTATCAAATAGTTCAGCTTTAAACTAGATTACGAGATTCAAAGCATAGAACTTCAAAAACTCGTTAGAGGCGTGAAGGTTAAAATGACACATATCATGTAAAATGATAGGAAATACCAAAACTAAGAAAATCACATTGATTTTTCTTGAGCATACTCCTTACTACTAACTTGTTTAAAAAAGAAGTCAAATTTAAGCCCTCACCTCCAGTCAGAAAGTTCTCTCCTATTTTAAGTCCAACAAAGCTCGAGTTGCTCTCAAATTAAAGAGAAAAGAGGAGAAATCTTGTAAATGATGACAGTTCTAAGTCAACAAAGCGATTTTGAGGAAAATACAAAACAATTTTTTTCTTTTAAAACAGTTATATTTCTTGAGAAACTTGGGCTGAAAATAATTTATATATATATTTTCATAAGTTCTCAACTATGCTAAATCCAATATACGCACGAGCGTGTCGCTTAGATATTTTCCTATATAGAGATGCTCCCCTGGAACTGCCACTTTTTTTTTAATACCATAGTTTCAGAATGTGTTTTCAGAAAACTTGGTGACATTTTAATCTCTCTCTGATCATCTGCACTCACCTACCAAATCGATCGGACTAGTGTATCGAGTGGAAAAAGTCCCAAAGAAGCTATGTAAAAGCATACCAAGTCCTAAAAGAGCTTGTAGTATAAAGTATCGTAGGATGACTCATTGAGTCTTGAGTTGGAACTAATTTGATATATGTAAAACTGTATTTCTGACTTCTATTTGGTTTGACTCTAGATGAAACAGACATCATTTAACATTAAAAATTTAACAAAAAGTCAGAATTTATTTTCAGGGTCTTGCAGATGTGCTATGTGAAGCATGTGCAAAATTAGGATGGAAAACACCTACAAAAATTCAGCGTGAAGCATTACCAATTGCATTACAAAGTAAGTGAAATATTTTCAAATGCATATCTTTTTCTAATTATCTTATTTCATATTTAGACCGTGATGTAATCGGATTAGCTGAAACTGGTTCGGGTAAAACTGGTGCATTTGCTTTACCCATTCTACAAACATTATTAGCTCAACCACAGCGTTTATTTGCTTTGATATTAACACCAACAAGAGAATTGGCATTTCAAATATCTGAACAATTTGAAGCATTAGGATCAGTTATTGGAATCAAATGTGGTATGTAAGAATTGATCAACAATATTCTTTGATAATTTGTTTTGTATTTTTTTTTTTTTTGCGTAGCCGTCATCGTTGGCGGAATGGATATGATGTCTCAATCAATTTCCTTAGCCAAAAAACCTCACATCATTGTTGGTACACCTGGCCGTCTCGTCGATCATTTGGAAAATACAAAAGGATTTACATTGCGTACAATCAAATATTTAGTAATGGATGAGGCTGATCGAATTTTGAACATGGATTTTGAAGCAGATTTAGATAAAATTCTTAAATTATTACCAAGAGAAGAACGTCGTACATATTTGTATTCGGCAACAATGACTAAAAAAGTGGCAAAATTACAGCGTGCATCATTAACAGATCCTGTTAAAGTAGAAGTCTCAACAAAATATCAAACGGTCGATAAATTACAACAATTCTATTTGTTTATACCATCTAAATTTAAAGATGTTTATTTTTGTTATTTACTGAACGACTTTAGTGGAAAATCAATCATTGTTTTTTGTTCAACATGTTCAACAACATTTCGACTGGCATTGTTAGCAAGAAATTTAGGTTTCACAGCTGTTCCATTACATGGACAAATGACTCAAGTGAGTATTAAACAATGAGAAATAATAGATGAGATAAATTTAGATGAATATATATATTCTACTAGAATCACTCTATTTTTAGACAAAACGCCTTAATGCACTAAATAAATTTAAAGGAAAAGTTCGTTCAATATTGATAGCAACTGATGTAGCCAGCAGGTGGGCCGACCTCTTTTTCTCTCCAATAATTGTAGATGTAATTTTATTTGTCTCGTTACAGAGGTCTTGATATTCCTCATGTTGATATTGTTATTAATTACGATATTCCTCAGCATTCAAAAGATTACATTCATCGTGTTGGACGAACTGCACGAGCTGGCCGATCAGGAAAAGCTGTGACATTTGTTACTCAATATGATGTTGAATTATATCAACGTATTGAATTTTTAATTGGCAAACAATTACCATTATATAAAACTCATGATGATGAAGTAATGGTATTACAAGAACGAGTACAAGAAGCCGATCGTCAAGCAAAAATACAAATGAAAGAAATGAATGACGAAAATAAAAGTTCAGCATTTATGAAAAATAAAAAACGGAAAAGTGATCGAGATGAAACAACGTCAAATAAAAGGCCAAAGACATCATCTGTGCACGATGATTCAGAACATGGTTTCGGTGTAAAAAAACAACTGAAACAAAAAAATAAGCAGAAAAAAGGACAAGGTTTCAAGAGAAAGAAATAGCATCGATGAATTTATTATTTTGTTATGTATTACTTGTTTTGTTATATAATGAAAATAAATTATGTTACCTTATCTCTTTATTTGCCACATCGACTCATGACCTTCTTTCTCTCTTTATAAGAATAGGAAGAAAAAGAGCTACTTTAATGATAAAAATTCTGAATGCATTGATTTTGTAGGAAAGAGAAGATTACCCATGATATTATCTTTTTTAGAATGAGCTTAGGAGGTGGTGATATTCAATTAATTTTACGTCGTATTCGAAATGGCTTTATAATATGTGATGATACCGAGATATGTGATAAAATTATTAGTCAAGAGGTTGAAAATGAACGAAGACGACGAGAGATAGCCAAACAGTATGTTTAAACTACTATGCCTTAGTCTTTTCATCTGTACTAGTTTTTCTATCTTGTTTTTTTTTATAGGAAAGGTGTTAACGTAGATGAAACTGATTTATTAACTTTAATACGTTCAGATCCAGACTATATCAAAGATGAATTGTCACATTCTCCTGAGTGGACAGCCAATAATGTCTTTGAATCGAGTATGAATTAAGCAGATACTTGTCTTGACGATTTGCATGTCTTTAACATTCTTTTTGAATCTATTAGCTCGACGTGGTAGATGTGAAACATTAGGACGTTTAGATGAAATTAAACATGAAAATGAAATTAAACGAAAAGTTAAAGTAATCTCTTGGCATGAACCAAAACGTACGTAATATCTTCTCGAATCTCGAACTTTTTCTTTCAAAATCTCCATTATTATTTTGTTTCTAGATAATCCGTTAGATAAAGATAAATTTGATATAGACAATTCAAAAGATATGTTTTGTCGTCGTTTACAACCTCCACCAAAATCAGCGAAACCATCACCATTAACACTATTATTACAAAATTCTTCTGATAAACAAAATCCATTTAATCAGTATGCAAAATTTGATGGAACAGTAAGTAAAAGACCATTAAAAATAAAAATGATGAACAATGTAGGCAACTGATTCTCTTTTACGATTTATGATGCTTCATGAATCGCTCAGATTTAATAAATAGTTTTGGTCTCATAATCGTCTATATGGCTCTTATTCAACATAAACTTCGATTGGCGTTCGTGTTTCGATAGGAAATCCTGTTAATTTCGATGAGATTCACACAAACATTGAAGAACATGAGTTACATTCCATTTAATAAATGACTCCTATGTAGAGTTATTGATCAACTTTCTAGTTTTTTCAGCTCTTAATCAGACCTTCTTAAAATGTATGCCTTGAATCAGAGTTCAGCTATTAACTCACTTTTCTTCGTTCGATTAGACAAGCAGAATTTTGAACTGATGCCTACAATAGAATTGTCACACCATGAACTTCTTCAAAAAATATGCAACACAGTGAGATATACTATCAATACGAATATTGAACTATATAAAATAGTACGAACACCAAATAACTTTGAATATGAGAAGAATTATAATGAATAGAAAAGAATTACTATTATCAAATACACTTGCCAATTAAAATAATCAAACATTATTAGTCCATAACATCACCTGAGTGGTTAAATCAATGAGAAAAAAAAGAGAAAAGATTTTTATGATTATTGACGAGTGGTAGAAAAACAAAATAGGAAACTAAGAGAAAAGACATATGTTTTAATGCATAAGATTCTTTAGTTTTAATCTCACTTTTGTAAATATGTATTTAAAATTTGTTCTTGTTGGCAATATATTGGTATCATCGATATTTTCCCGTCCGACAGAGTATTTATCGTAGTTTCTTCTATTGTTTATATAAACATGTTTTTATTTTTTTTTCAAGCCAAATCCTGGTAAACAATCGAAACGTTTCAAAGTTCGTTTAGCAAATCGGGCAACTCAGCCACCATTAACAATTATTGTATCTAGTCAAGCAACAGTTGAAGAAGTTATTGGGTTTATTTGCTATCGATATTGTTTAGAAGACAGACAACCGACATTAACGTAAGTGTGCTTATTTTTATGCATTTAAAACTGTCATGTAGATTCTTTTTCTCTTTACACATCATTTTCAGACAAACAGATCTCAAATGCTATTCATTGTGTATAGCTGATGACGATTTAAGATTAGAAGAAGATTTTCCTCCTCTAACCACCACTCGTCTCATTGGTCAATATGATTTTCCTCATTTTATACTAACTGAAATCCATGAAACTGTTGGTAGTGATACTGAATCAACAGTATCTTCATCAACACCATCATCTTGTCTATCATCTCACAGTTCTTCTCCGTCTCAATCAATCTCATCTTTGCCAGCAATGACAGGGTCAACATTAGTTGATCAATCACAACGAAAATCTGTGATATCATCAAGTTCACTTGAACGAGAAAAAGAAAAAGAAAAGGAAAAGGAAAAAGAAAAAGAAAAAGAAAAAGAGAAAGAAAACGATCCTATCGGTGATTTAAATCGATTGTATGAAAGTTTGAATCAAAAAACTTATTCAATTGAAATGATTCTTAAACATAGAAAACATGCAAATGGAAGATTAGGTAAGAAGTCACAAATGAATATTTAATATGTCACTTTTATATTACTAGCATAGATAATTTTTCATATTTTATCTTCTCTATTTAGATATATCGGGTGAGCAAATAAAAATGGAATTATTAGAAAAACCAAAGTCATGGTCTCGTGATAAGCCCCCGTTAAATATAGTTTATTTTTCAAACAAACTAGTTGATTGTTCAATATTAAATAAAGAAAAAAAAAAAGGTATTTATTACAATCACATAACTTTTTCTTGTTCAAACTATCTATTGATTCTGAGACTCTTCCTCTCTTTCTCTTTCTAGAACATGTTCGACTAATTCTAACATTTGAATCTAATCTTGATGATGGTACCTTAAATTATCAATCACATGAATTTATCTGTAATTCACAATCATCAATGGCACAAGATATTCACGATCAAACACAGAATATTATTAAATTAAGAAATCCAAATGGACGTAAAATTTATGAAGATAACATGAAACGTGATTTATCGAAGAAAAGACGATCATTACTAAATCCATTTGGAAAAAAAGACTAAAATAATTATATTTTAAATTTTTTTAGGCTATTTTTATACAAAATAATTACATTATTTTTTTATAACTAAAATAAGTTCTTTATTTATTTTCTTTATGTCGTTTTTTTTTAACTCATATGAGCAGATACCAAAAACAAAGCCAGAAAAAAAACAGTGCAAACTCTTAGATAAGTGTATTAGTTTTGTGCCAAAAATCAGAAATATCTTGAATAGATTATTTTACTTCAGTTCTGAATGGAAATAAGATTTGTTCATGTGGTGCTCAATGCTAATGTTCTCTGTCGATATTCTGGTTGCTCTGAAAAAACCGTATATACTTCGTTGTAGATCAAAAGGATTCAACATGTCTGGTGATAACGATGGTATTGTACATCGTCCTGGTGTATTGAAACAGCAAAATAAACCATTTAAATCTGGTCGACATCGTTCAAATGGAGAAATTAAACGAGCATCAAAAGGTAAATATTTTTCTCTGATATATTTTAACATTTAACACATATACCTAACATTTTGTTTTTCACCAATTATTCTAGGTCGTGTTAATGTTAAATTATTGACAAAACAACGTGGTAAACAAAAACGTCTAGAAACAAAACAAGATCGTTTAAATAAAGCACAACAAATAAGAAAACAAAAACGTGAAGATTATTTCAATCAAAGAAGAAATATTGGAGCATTAGATGGCGTACCACATATTGTTGTAAGTAATAAATTAATATTTTTATTGTACGAAGATACTGAGTACAATTAGGATCAAATCACTTGCAAAAAAAATCTATTATCCATAACATCTTTCAAAAACTTAGCCTTTGGAAATCATTGTAAAGTTGATTTTTTCTATTCAGACCATTGTTCCATTATCAGCTGATATTGATTCATTTACAATAATTCAACTTTTAACATCAATTTATGACGATAAATCAACCGAAGTAGCAACGGATTGCGGTGCAAGAATATACACGTACGTGAAACTAATTCACTCTCAGCCATTCTACTTAATTAGTGATGAAAGTCCTATGAGATGTACAGACCTAATTTAGGCTTCTGCGTAGGGTTAGAAATCTACTCGATAACAATGAGTGGGACAGAACTTGACAGAAACGTTGGGTATGTTGAGGAATAGCTATGGTAAAATTTTGAAGGCTCCACCTACTTTCGTTCAATAGATGTCACCTTAATAAGTGTCCGACAGATCTCCTCTCAGAAAGCAGCTAGAGAGCTCGAATTGGTTTTGAAATATCAAATTAAATTAGGATAACGACGTAAAAAACCCGGATTTTTGAAGTTTTTATTTGTTTTATTTTCAGAAGAGTTTAGTTCAATAGTTCAAAAAGAAGGGAGGAAACTGGCATATAACTTTCAACAGTTTAAAAGCCTGACGACCCAAAGTGAAAATTGGGCCCTTTTACGTTGTTCCCATATGTCTTTGCTTTATTTAAAAATAAGATGTCCGTTCTGACTTGTCGTTACGGAGAATGTGTGTGCTTTTAAACCCATTCTGAGCAACATGTCCCCATATGCTAGTTGATAGTTGTGTTTCTCTAACTATAGTATCTGTGTCTATTTAGATGTCCAAAATTACGTTCAAAATTTTGTTTTCTCTCACCTGATCGTACATGTTTAGAAAATGTTCTTGACGCAGCGAAAGTAAGACTTCTGCTTATTTTGTACTATTTTTAATTGTCTATGTTCATTTAGATGTCTGATTCAGTTTTGTTTTTAATATCAGGGAGTGGTTTAGATAATGAAGGTGATTACTTATTGGATTTAATCCATTTACATTGTTTACCAAATTCCTTATATATACTCAATGGTTTAAAAGACATTCAACCGGCTAAACAACAAACTTCAACATTCAAAATTATCGAAAATACATTAGTGAAACGGTATGTAATTAGGATTATATCTCTTATTTCGTACAGCACGATACAACATACGGGAGGAGTTATTTATGACGTTTTAGAGACATTTGGTCCATGAATCACGGTCTTTTTTGCAGATTCATATGACGAAAGATGTTATTGTATTTGAAATTCTGAAAAGGAATGAAAAACTTTCTATGTGATCATACTACTAAAGGACAGTATTGCAGTGAGATAGATGTGACACAAAAGTTCATGACAACTAGAAGTTTGATTAGGATAAAAATCAAGCACTGTATAGAAAGAACAAAATATATCGTTATTTCTGCAAGATGGCTCAGATGTTATAAGCTTTATTGAAAAAGAAAAAAGAAAAGTTAGAAAAGATCAGTACAATAATGAGGAGAAGGAGGCGAACCCATTGCATCTTTACATCAGTGACTGAGATGAAAATTAAATATTGTTTTCGTTGAAAAAATAAATTCCAGAGTAACAAAAATTCTTTTCAATGAACAAATGTTTCACTTGTTTAGAAAAAAACTGTTTGCAGACTTTTTAAAAAGACTATCCACCAGAAAAAATCAGGACAGTATCAGACATTCGGAAATCCTAGTAAGCAGCTTTAGCTCGTGGTGCAAATATCACAGTTTTTTTGTGAATAAACGTTGTTTAAGGGATTATTATCATTCTTTATCCATCCCGATACCTTATAGACAAAGAATTAAGGCTGTCAAAAATATTAATTTTTTCGAAAGTCGCCGTCAGAAAAAACTTTCAGTAAGATTTTTTATCCAAAACATATTGTTTTATACATAGTCTGATACAGTTTCATGCACTGATTCTGAATATATTCTTCGTTTTTATTTTAAAAAAAGTTTAGTCTTTTTTCTCAATCAAAAAACAAAGAGTTGGATGTAATATTATTTATTCTCTAAAAGTATAATTTAAAAAATATGATGTAACATTAATAATTTTTTTCTTTAATCAACGCTTTGCATTTATTTCATTTAGATGTTCGGATGCAAAATTATTAAAATTAGATTCCGAATTAGAGGGTCAACTTATTCTAAGAAAACTAACTGAACAAAAAATGTCTTTACCACCTTTTCGAAAACAACGACCCTATATATTTGCTGAGTCATTAACCTATCAGCAAACAGCCGTAAGTGAAATATACTATTTTATCCATCATAGTTCAATTTATATTTATGATAATATTGATTTTTATACTCAGGAATCGACAAGTGCCTCATTAACTGGTTCCACATTGAAAATTAGCGGTTATATTCGTGGTACAAGTTTATCGCCAAATTCATTAGTTCATTTGCCTGGTTTAGGCACATTTCAAATTGAAAAAATTGATCTAATAGATTTTGAGAGAGGCGTAAGTGGTTTAAATAATTTTATTTACACAAAAATGTGTACATATTAATATATTTTCAGGCTGATGGTATTGTAAAACCCGTAGTCACTTCAACATTAACACCTGATCCTGAAAAACAAACATCATTAACTGAAGAAGCTGAACATGATCCAATGGATAATGAACAAACGTGGCCAACAACAGAAGAATTAGAAAAAGCACAAGGTAAGTGTAATAGAAACAAATTTAATAGTAAATGTTATTTCTAATAGTTTATTTCAGGTGAACGTCATCAAGTTAAAAAACGTGTACCAAAAGGTACGTCAGAATATCAAGCTGCATGGATGGTATCAGATGAAGAAGATGGAGAGCAGGACGAAGACGATATTAAAGAAGAAGACGAAGAAGTGAGACTTAAATTTGAATGATGTTAGTTCTCTTTTACTTATTATATAATTTGTAGGATGGTGAAATGATGCCGGATGATATTGGTTCAATGAAATTAGATGATGATATTAATGAAGAGAATAGTGTGAAAGATATAAACGAAAAAGAAGATGATACTGAAGAAATGGAAGATATTATCTTGAATGATGCTGGATATGATGAAAAAATGGATTTGGAAGAAGATAAAGAAACGTATGCATCCTATAAGATAATTTTCTATTTTTATATTGTCAGTATTGTAATTATTTTAGACTAGAAAAGTTGAAACAAGCTAAAATCGATGAACAATTTCCAGATGAAATTGATACACCACTTGATATTCCAGCTCGAGTTCGATTTCAAAAGTATGGTTTGATTAAATTTTCATTTTATTGTGCACAATTATAGACTCTCGTTATTTGAATAGGTATCGAGGTTTAAAAAGTTTTCGTACAACAAAATGGGATCCGAAAGAAAATTTACCAGCAGACTATTCTCGAATATATCAATTTCCAAATTTTCGTCATATGGTTAAACATATTCAACAAGAACAAGAACAAAACGAAGATGATGAATCGAAGGCACAAGTAAGACAAATGAACTGAAATTGTTTGAAGTGATAAAATTTCTTTTTGTATTTTTACCAGTTCAACAACGTTAATAATGCAATTGCTCGATGATTAAATTTTAATTTTAGGTCAATACATATGTTAATTTATATTTGAAAAATGTGCCTGTTGTTCGTTTTGGTAAGAACGATGTTGTACTTTTTCAACTGATTACACATGATCTTTTATCTATGTTTCTAGCTCCTGGACGTCATGTATTTTTAATTGGTTTATTACCATATGAACAATGTTTATCTGTATTAAATTTTGTTTTACATCGTACACTAGCATCATCGGAGAGTAACCAGATTCTAAAATCAAAAGAAAAATTAATATTTCATGTTGGATTTAGAAGATTTAGAGCGGGAACAATTTTTTCACAACACACAAATGGAACTAAACATAAAGTAAGTTGTGTTGAATATGCCTACAATACTTTTATAATATTGCGTGCATTTTAGTTTGAACGTTATTTTCGTCCAAATCAAATATTAGTTGGTACATGCTATGGACCAATCACATATCCACCAGCAGCTGTATTAGTATTTAAAGAACATTCTGATGGTACACAAGAACTAGTAGCACATGGTACACTAATGTCAGTAAATCCTGATCGAATTGTATTGAAACGACTTGTATTAAGTGGACATCCATTAAAAATTATGAGAAAATCAGCAGTTGTTCGATACATGTTTTTTACTCCAGGTATATATATTGTTAAAGAATAATAAATTGAATTAAAATGATAATGTTTTTTAATAAAGATGTTATTCTCATTTATCATATATGTTTATTGTCTTTCAGAGGATGTGAACTGGTTTAAACCCGTTGAAATTCGTACAAGATTGGGCAGACGTGGACATATTAAAGAATCACTTGGTATGTTTATTCTTATACAAGGATATAGAATGCAGACTAAGTTTTGTAGTTCTCTTATTCAAATGTCTGTTTTATGTTGTGTTTGAAAAAATTTGAACTTAAGAATAAGATTTGTTTTTATTCGGATGCAGAAAAAAAACTTAAAATCAAACCATTCGATCTCATTGATAGATAGACATTTTTTTACATTTTATTTCTTTTCTATTTAGGTACTCATGGACATATGAAATGTCAGTTTGATGGTATCATGAAATCTCAAGATACAATTTTAATGAATTTATACAAGCGTGTCTTTCCAAAATGGACGTATGAGCCACTTGTAGATGAAAATTATCAACTGCAAAAAACAATCAAAGAAAAAGACGAGCAAAATAGTAAAATATCGACTATGCAATGAATATTATTATACCGTCTATTTTATTTGTTTTTTTTATTTCGTTTGTTTATGGTTATAGCACTCGTTTAAGAAAATAAAAATAAAAATTATTACATCTTATTAATATGAATGAATTTCATTTGTCCTCAAAATAGTAGTCTACTTGTCTGATTATATGGATTTTAAACAATAAAACTATACTGTAATGAATGACACATCAAATTTATGACAATCTTGACTATATACAACTTCCTCAACTACATTAAAAGTGACTGTAGGAACAAGTGTGAAGAAAAATTTGTTCATGCTATCGCACAATTAATCGCCAAAGTAGAGTACATACTAATTGTGTCTGACTGAGATATCAAACTTGGTACAATTGTCTAGCAATCATTCGTAAAAGAAACAAAAAATTCAAATATCTACTTAGAATAAATGCATTTAAATTTATAAAAATCTATTCGAATATTGAAATCAAAATATCTAAAGTTCGACGTACTTCTCACAAGTGATTCGTACACACCATTGCTAAATTAGAAGCAAATATTTCTATTAATATGTGCCTAATATTTTTGATGAAAGATTCATGTTTAGCGTTGAATAAAACGCATAATCGTCATGGGTTGTATATGTGATCAGGCATTTTTCTTGATACTTAGGTGAAACAAACTTGAGAGTCAAAGTTCAAACAATAGCTCAGAAACAGTGTTTGATGTCACAGACACTTTTTTTGTAATACAGGTAGGATTATAACGTATAATTCATGTGTGAGCGACATCTTCCTAGCGATACAAAGACACTGACCAGAACTGATTTTATGATTGCTCTCCTCCTTCTGTTTCTTCATGTTAGCACCCACATATTATTGTGAAAAAAACGAAGAGCGTTCGTGCGTTGGACAATGTTTACATTGATAATTTTCTTGTTGAAGAAAAAGAATATTTTCCGAAAATTATCGTGTCAGTCTATATGAATTTTCTTTGATAACTTACATCTTGTCTGTGATATCATTTCTAGAAAAAAATTTCTTACTATGATATTTTTCTCTGTTTTGGGATCATAATGATGAGAATGAAAAAGAAAATCACCACATGAATCTGACAAAAAATGAGAGTTATATTATTAAGCGGTTACAATTTGGAAAAGGGAAAGAGAACAGCATAACTAGACAGGTTTCGCTACATCGTAGAAAATAACTGTACATATTGATCAGCATATAACAGAGAGAAGACAAGTAATAGAAAATTATTCTTTTGCTTCTACATTTACTTATCTACTCCAGGCACATAATTCTTCTTGTCATATATTCGACTGGACGTAAGGTAAAAGTATTAGGGTGGTATTTTAAGACACTTCATATTTTAACTCCCATTACATCCGTTGATATTGATCAATTGTTCTTGTCAATAAGTAGTAGTTAAATATCAACATAGATAAATGTTCCCTGTTTAGAAGTAGAAGGGAGTAACTAACGAGAAGATCTTTAGCTCAGCTATCTTACTTCCGAATTTTTCCGAAAAAACATCGAGCATTTTTTTCTGACTTTGCAATAGTGTCGAACTTCTTTTTCTTTTTCTACCAAAAATATTCATATTGGTAAACGAACATTGTCATATTTTTTTAAATAGTAATCTTCCGACTGAAATACAGATTGTTCATACCAACTGAGAAATATTTTGTGCCCGATAGTGGACAGAATCGGCCAGTTTGACATTCTTAGCACAGGAATTTGACAAAAACTCATATTATGATGTATGGTACTCCATTATAAATAGTGCGTGAAAGTATATTAGAGAAATACAGTGGTGCTGTGCATACATATGTATCTATGCACGATTTTTATCTTGTTCCTTGCTGATATTATTTTTTCTCTTAGCGGAAAATAGAACATTAATGGTATAACAAAGTTTTTCTTGTATAGAATAATCATTCTTTTATGAATAAGCATTTGGCAATGTCTGTTGTTAGTCGTTGAAATATATTTTGTTATATTAACCTTGCGTTGTATCTATTGTCTTCTTCTTTTTCAGACGATGATAGAAAAGAATTTTACAGATATCTTCTTCGTTTTGGTTGTTTGTTACATATATATCTATTAAGTGCTGTCACCTTTCTCCCCGCATATTGTAACAAAATATTTTTTAATTATAGATTGCACTAATTACATTCTTCGTTTTATACTAATAGCAATAATGCCACGAGAAAATATTCCTAAGCAATCACTTAAAAAACTTGAACAGTTTTTCACAAAAACGTTGGGTATGAGGTGTACTTCATTTTCGTATAACTCTATAATAGAATTATTATAATGTAGATACCAATAATGATGGTTTAGTTAATTGGACAGATTTCGAAGCAGCTATTGAAGTAAGTACCTAAAATAATGTAATTCTCGTTTTGATAACAATTAAATTTAAAAAAATAAAATATCACGTTTTTTATGTATACCAATTAAAAAATTTCATTTTTATCCATTTCTTCATTTAATGAATTAATTAACTATGTTTTTAGTCTATTGTTCCCAAAGAAGATGCCGCGCGTAATGCTCGTTTGAAAGTGTTACGTAAAAGATTGGAACAACATTTTCAGAAATATTTTTGGGATTTATGCGCAGTTGGTGATGCAAATAATGATGGAAACATTGATTTAGGTAAGAACGTCTTTTTCTGGGATTAGTAGAGTACCTTGTATTGACGTATAATTGCCCTTGTTTCAGAGGAATGGCTGAATGTAATGAATGATATTATTCGTGGCTTAAAAGATAAAAATGAATTTCCCGAATGGTACGAAGGTACGTGCTTATTTCTGTTATCTACGGTTAAACATTTAGTATAATGTACTTCTAGGTCTTCACAAAGCATTGTATAGAGCAACAGAATTTTTAGGTAATGTTCGGCAGTCATTACTCTACTATATCAAAACTAACTCTTGCGTTTATCTTTCTCTAGATGAACGTTCAGCAACAAAAGATGAATTTGTTGGTATGCTTATGTTATGGGATATCGATGAAACTGCAGGTAAGAATAAAATTGTTGTTCTTTTCAACATTGTGTAACTTTTAATTTTATTTCTAGCTGAGAAAGCCTTTGATTTCATTACTGATCATGGCAAGAAACCAATGGATTACAATTTATTTTCAGAATTTATGAAAAAATTCTTTTTAAACGAAATTCCCAATCATCCACTCAACCTTGGCTTAGACAAATGACAGCATATATACTGATTTAAAATATTTGATTGATTGACATCTACTATTACTACTATTTTTTTCAGAAACTGTTTTTGTTCTTTTTTTGTATTATTCATAATATAACAATTACATTTTTTTCTTCACAAAACAAATCCTGCTGAAATTTATGATACCAATGAATAAATCTGCAGTCTGGAATAGACATGCACCGGTTGTAACCCAAATGAAGGACTAGTTGCGATAAGGCCGTTTTTTTTTACCACACTGTTTTCAAACAATAATTATATATTCGGAATCAGCATCATATTTTGGGTAAAATGAGATATCTTTTTCTGTTGAAAATCATTTTCATTTTTTTCGAAAAATTTCCGTCCCTTTGGAACATGGAAAAAGTTTTTTTTTCGATTTATTTAGATTATACATCATTCGATGCAGAATTTCATGCTGATTACGAATATCAGGTTCGTTTTGTACGAAAACGTTCCTGGAAATGAAAAAAACAACTTTTTTTGACAGGTGGTTTTTTTGCCCGTCCTACGATTTTGGCCGCCAGCCAATCCAGGAACTAAGTTTGAAAGAAGAAAACACATTCAGTCGTGTGTAAAAATGATTTTTCTATGTAAATCAGGTAAAATTCAATATATAAAACTAAGTTTTACATAAGTTTGTCGCCAAAAAGTGGAAAATTGGTGAATCACACAAACTTTTGGCCATTTGATGACCACTTTGCAATACAACTAAGACTTAATCCAATGAGTTAGATACATAGATCAATTTCATTTTTTGTTTTCTTTCCAAATATGATCTTAAAAATTGAAAAAAAGATGCAAAACATGATCAAAATTTGAAAATACCCCAAAAGTAGGGAAATTCATTAATAAAACGTCATTTTAGAGGCCTAAGCAACCATAAATAAGCATGGAAAGATCATATTCGTAATCAGCACGAAAAACTGAATCAAATGATGTGGGTTTCAACGCTGTTTGTATCAAGCTGTGAAAAAACCTGTTTCTTGATATTTGTGCTTGCAAAATATGCCGTTGAATTTTCAATAAAAGAAAATATCGTAGAAATATACTGAAAGTTACTTTTTGTTATAAAACACTGCACGCGCAATGTGGAAAGCCTCAAAAATTTATTTGGATGAAAATAAAAATTCAGATGTTTTCTCATAAATATCTAAGATTCAACGAAAATAAACGTTTCTAATTTTTTTATAAATTAAATAAGTTTCATAAATAAGTTTTTTAAATTTTTTAGATAAAATAAATCTCAGATACATTGTGTTATAAAGAAGTTATTCTGCGAATAAATTCGACTTTTCCTTATTTCACGTTTTACGTGGAAAGCAGAATTTAATAAAATACTTTTTACTCTTTATTCTTACATCTATTAAATTATTTCTATACACTGTTTTGTACAAAAATGTTTGCTCTATAATCCTATGCATTTGAAACATCTGGAGCACTATTACTCGACAAAAAGTTTTTTTTCCTTCCGATCGAAGAAAATTTTTAAGTTTCAATGCTGTATTTCTAGTCCTCCACAACAAACCACTACAAAAGTTCTAAATATCCATTCGGTATGAGCATAAAATTCTGATTTTAGTACACACTTTTTGAATCTTTAGAGCACTTTTATGTTCGAGAAAAATGATCGAACTTTTCTGTCATATTATTCTGCTGCATTCTGCTACGCTAGACAGCCCTAAAGCTAATTTATTAACAAATTAGAAACTCTAGAAGAACATCTCTTTTTATTACATTTTATGAGCATTTGAATATTATATTCACATTAATTTTCTTTGTGTAAAAACTTTATTTTTACAAACTGTTTTTATTAAGAAATGGAGAATTAAAAACAAACTGGTAATCAAAGGGTTAAAAGTGTCCAGCAAAGAGAAATGCCGTATAGCAAAACATATCTACAAAACGTTGTGTGCGACAACACCTTTTAATGTGTCTATATAAATCATATGACTTTATTTGAGACACTTGAACTAAATGCTTATTTTCGAAGACATACTTGATGTGTCTGGATGTGGTGCACATGACTTTCATTTACCTATTTTGTTTTCCTAAAGCAAAGAAATATAAGTAACATCCATTTTGAATCAAATTTTGCCACTTTTCTCATTAACCTGTTGAAGTGTGAACTTCGATAGATTAGTAGTCTAATAGCAGTTTCGAATTAATTGCAACTGCAACTAGGCCTTTCTCGCTCCATTTAATCTCTGAACAGGGACTTAACATTACGTTTTTCCTAATACCACAAGCTAACTGAATCCCAAGTACCACACGCCCTAATGTATTAGAATAAATATCTAAATCATAAATACGAAAAGTGAAAATCTAAGCATAAAAATTGACGAAGAAAATTTTGTCATGTGTGTCGTACGGAGGCTTTGGAATGTATCCTCTGCAACACCACCTGGAAGTGTGTCGTTAAACAGGACATATGAAAAAAATACATGGAATGGACACATTTTTTGGATAAATTCTCAGACACATAATGTGTCTTACAAGCACTGATTCTAAGACTACAACTATCTTTCATATGAAGAGCGCTTTCAAATTCGCATTATTTATAGACTTATGAGAACTAGTTCATTTCACATTTGTTCAGAAAGAATACAAAACTCGACTGAGAAACAATACTTAGACTCGCCCATTTGAGGAGATGATCCATTTCTTCTACTTTAGACGGTAAGAATAACGTCATTTTCTTCAAATACGTCTAAAAAGCTTGTCAGCATTGCTTCTACAAAGCAAAAATGTAGAAACTTCCTACCGAACTGTT